ACTTACTAGGTATATATATATATATATATATATATATATATATATATCAAAAACAAAAACAAAATTGGACGGAAAGATTAGGTCGGTTTGTAAAAACTTAACTAATTATTTTTCTTTTATTGCTCTTACTCGTAGTGTGAAACAAATGACATAGTTCTAACTAAAAAAGAGAAAAGATATCGTTATATCTTCATTTTTGAAACTCATCAAGAGTAACAAACAGATTATGATCAAGTCATTCCAATCGTTAGCTTCATTAAAATTATGTTTTATTAGGCGGTACTAGTGAATTGTTATAACGAAGAAAATATATGAAACACAAGCATTGTACGAACAATATATGTAACATGGACATATATGAAGTAATGGACATTATATGAACAATAAACACGATGAACAGAATCTTATCATTTATCAAATCCAAATAGGATATTCATATTTCCAAGGATACCTGCATTTATCAGGTATTTTGTTGCTGAAAGCATACATGATAAAAAGAAGTGATAAAGACCATTTATGAAGTGTAATTTTATGTTTCCATTGTCTCGTATTTTGTCAAGTTCTTTGACATCTGAGTGACAAAGAGATTTTAAAAAATACAAGTGAAGATTGTTGGGATGAAACGAGCAATTACTACCACGTATCACTAACTGTTTTACGGGATAATAAGATAAGGCTAGGAAGGAAGCAAAGATAATACTTATTGCGCCATTGCTTTAACCGTTTCACTTCTGTGTTCTAAATCACTAGTATTTTTTTTTTCTTACCACAATCGAGACATAAAACATTCACGGGCTCATTTTACTATATGCATTTTGGCTTATCGCGTGACCATTGGCTGATCAGTTGTCCATTACGGAAATTGGAATCACACTTGCGGCATACCTTTTTCGTGAATTGCATTAGTAATTGTATCAAAGGTATTATAGTTGGCTATGCGATTGGATTACACATTGTATGACTGAACTATCAAATATCGGATGTACTTCTTAAAATACTTAGACAGGTGTTTAATTGCAGAAAAAATGGAAGGAGAATAATGGACAAGTAAAAAAAGAAGGGGAAAGAAAAAGGAAGGAAGCAAGGATAATAAATAATAAAGGAGAATATTGTATAAGTGATGGATAAGTGAGAGAAGCAATAAGGCGACTTAGCAATTATAGGACAAATAAGAGAAGTTGAACGAACAATAAATAGTAAAGAATAATTATTGAAAAAAGAATCACGAAAGCAATAATATCATGTTTATTAAAAAAATTAATTTAAATTCTGAATAGATATCCATCGGAAATATAATAATCGGTGAATTTTACTTCAGAAATAATTTCAGATGACATTCAAATGACATCTTTAATGAAGATTTTGCAAGTGATATTATTAAAGATTCCAATTTATATTTCGATTTTGATCTTAACAGGATTTTTTTTCTGATCCTTTGAATTTTTAATCCTAATACGCTTATATGCCCCTCTCACGACAAATTTTATCTTTCCGTCTCAAGTTGACTAGGTCTAGTATGACATGAAATGTTTGTAGAAATTTCGAGATTATCAACGTTTAAACTTTTCTCCTTTATTTTTCCGCCATTTTTCAGCTATAAGGCTAACAGATCAATGTCATTCGTTTCTATTTGACGACTAACGGGATGAGGAATTTTCACATCACCCCTATTTTTTTCATAACTGAGTTTGCGTATAAATTGGTTTCGTGCTTCCTCATTGTTTTCCCGGTTGTAGTTGTTTGGGGGAGGGAATGGTTTACAGATTTAACAAATAGAAATGGGAATGAAATATAGGTTTCGCTAAAAGGAACTGATGAAATGATAGTTCTCTCGACTGAAGTCATTGACGGAACCATCATTTTATCTGGAATTTTGATGATTTTTTCATAATTAGTTCTGTTAGTATCAACTTTATGAATGTACAATTGTATTTCGGATTTCGTTATCACAAATGAGTTTGAGAGCAAGCAAGTGGTAATGAAAAGAAATGATTTCGCGTTTTCGGGGATTCAGCTCAAAGTTTCGTTTTGGTTGCGAGTGTTAGCAAAAAAAAAAAAATTGATTCAAATGATAACATCTGGTAACATCTTTGAAATGATTTGTTAATCAGAAGAACATATTCCTTCTCTGTAAGGGACTATGCAGGAAGCCATGTCATCTTTAAATTCAGTTATAAAATGAAGCATTGAAATGTTCTCTCATTTGTATGGTAGGTATAGTGCTTTATTTCCCTCACCAAATTTTAGAAATTATTTTCAAAAAGAATTTAAAATATTTTAGGCATATGACTTTGAAGAATTGCTTGAAGATTTTGACACTAATCCTTCAAATTAAATTTAAAAATTAACAAGAACTTTTAAATGTTATACTTACTGATAAGGGAATATTGTGATGACAGAACCGTAGGAATTTTCCTCCTACACGAATTGCTAGATTGCAATTGACAAGTCACTTCATCATCTTGAGACGAAACTCTGAATATATCCCTCATATGCCGTGCTTTTCAGTTCCTCCTTGTTCCATTCATAGCTTGAATTCCTTTTTGCTTGAATTGGATTGCAGATCAGAATTTGCTAGCAATAGTGCATGGAGTTTCTACAAAATGCTTTACATAGATCAATTGATTAATCTTATAAACAAATTTTCGTCCTTATAATACAACTCATACGGATGTCGAATCTGAAATACAGCCTGGAATCTCGATTTACTTTCTCCTGACGTACATGACCAATTAGATTTCATAAAACTCTTGAAAAAGGTGATGATATCAAATACAAGTAAATATATGAAAACTAAGACTGGATTGGATTTTGGTGAGCATAACTGCATATGAAATTAAATCCTAAATTTACCCTTTTAGAGTGAAGCCGGACTTACCTTTTTTTTTTATTTTCTAAATGGGATTGAATCTCTTTTCTCTTTTGGAATATTCTTATGCATTAAACTAGGGTATAGGGCATACTTTGATAAGTGAAATCATGAAAATATTTATTTGCGCTGATAACACTGACCTTGTTTTTTGTGATTTTTAATTTTGAATTCTTCAGTTTCGTCCGTTTTTATTTCAGGTTACTGGTGAGTGTGTGACGAAGTTGCATCGACGTGGAGATGACAAGTGTCTGGCGGCGAATACAAAAGTCGAACAAAAAATCAGTCAAATATCGTTTTACAATTACACCGCAGGAATTATTAATTATTTGCTCCACAAAGTGGCATCCGCAGACTGTGGTCATAACTTGCATGCACAGGTCAATGATATGCTCAGATTTCAACCTTCACTTCACTAATAAGGCAGGAGAACTAAGATGAAATTGAAATTTATGTTTTTAATTACTGTGGATCTGCTGGATAGTAAGAGGTATACTAAATTTGTATCTGTATCAGAACACTGAATAATTGAATAATGCTATAATGTAGCACCAAATATCAGCACCGGTGGTGCTGCAGTGAAGAATAAAGCAATCATAGGAATTCGGAATGATTGGAAATACACAGATTTTTTGATATTGGATCCTCTTTAATTTCTTAATTTCGTTTGTTCAGTGTCAAGCACTGAAACAAAGATATCGATATTTACAGGAGGCGAAAAGTGGAGGGACGAGTACGACGATGGGAGAGTAGCATGACGGATCCTTGTCGAGGTTTAATTGTTTGGCCATCACAGACACCGGATCCGTTACTTTTCGACACAACACTGTATTGCGACGATTCATCCCATCATTTTAGCGATAAAGAATGGACTTTGTTGGTGGAGGAATGCACACGAAAAGGCAAACGAAAAGCTATCGCTGCTGTCAATTTAAATATGCCCCTTTTCATTCAGGTTTGTCATTGCGCACCTTCAAATTACAAAATGTAGGCGGATGATACTTTGTTACGATACTTACCAGTGACTTGTTTCTTGCTACATATAAGACTTGAGATTAAGTATTCATTGCTTACAGTTTGTTCCTCAACTTATGTGACCATTTCTACATTTTGTGTGATCTTCGATTTCTTTTCCATTCTCCTTCCTCCGCTCTTCCATCCTTTGCATAGGAATGCGCTTTATACACTGTTTCTATAAACGTTCAACTTATTTTTTGGAAACCAGATCAAATGTTTATAAACAGATCAAATTTTTGAATTGAAATTTCATGGTATCCTTAGAGATTTTTTCAGGATCCAGAAACAGTAGTTGAGCTAAAATTAAAATTGCGACCATTATGTCCAGAATTGTCTCAATGTTCAATGCAAATTTTGATATCATCAGTGCTTATTGGTGATGAAGAAGCAAAGTAAGCTAACAGTAAGAAGGATGCATATTTAGATTATATCTGAGGCATGTGTTGAATTTTATAACCAGTGGTCATCGGCTACTTGATTGTCAGAGGTCATTATATAATAGTGTGAATAGTGTGATGGGGGATGTTCCATCCAGTATTCTGATGTTTCGTGGTAACTTTGGTCTGAGGAAAGTTCACCGCACTTCAATGTGGGAACATTTTATTTGTTTCATTCCAAGTTATTGTTTATAGCCACTTCGGTACGAAAAGAGAAATATCAAATATTAACGGTGGACACAGAGCTAGTATAGCAGGTGATACTGCAGAAACAGAACAACGAACCAGCAACGTGAAAGGTAAGTAATGAGGCAAATATTGGATTAGGAATAGTAAGTATTAAATGTTTCTTCTATCTTAAATGCCTTCGATCGAAGATCAGAAAAGTCAGTTAGTCCGAAAAAAATTAAGAATTTTACTGTGTAGAAATGTCTTTTCAGTGATTTGGGTTTTTTGATCCTTGATTCGGAAAGATGTTTTCATTTTTTTGGTCTTCACTAATTACTGGATTTCATCTATAGTATCTTTTGATGTCTGTAGTTTTTCCATATTAGCTATATTTTATTTAAGAATCTTATATCTTTTGCAAATAAGTATACACCGGGACTGTTCAAAATTTGCTAGAATTTGTGATCTTTGAATGTTTACGGATGTTTATAAGATTACAACACAATAGTACTTCCAGACAGTACAGTTGTTACCAGTTATTCAATGAATTTAAATGATATCGAGAGGTGGGAAATACGTGACGAAGGAAACGAGGTAGATTTGACTTCTCGAACTGAAGATGCTTATAAAACTAATGGTACTACTGATAAACGTGGAGAATTTTTTGATCGCAACCATACCCATTTTACGACTCGAGATTCCAGAATGGCATGTGCTGTTGAAAGAAAAAAACTGGGTATATTCAGTTTCCATGATTTAAAGTAAAAGATTGAGTTTTCTAGAATAGATTTGAAATTGCTGAAAAATGCTTTCTGAAACATCTTATTTGCTGCGCTGTCCAAAAAAATATAGAAAATATAGAAAACGCTATCCAGAATATAGAAAATATAGATCATAGAAAGTGCAAACTGAATTCTTTTCAAGGTAGAATTACCAACGACCTTTTCATCCTTCACTTAATATTTTATCGTATTCCGCCATTTTATCGTACTACGTCGTATCATATGATTGACGAGTCGATAATTTCCTTTCAAATCTCGAGTAAGCTCGTACGCGCATTTTCCCATGTATGAGATTGCTGACGAACTTTTAAAGCATCCAGTTATGGATATGTTGATGAGCTAGAATCCTATAATTTAGTGTGCAATTTATAAATTATTTCACATTTGATAGTCCCCCATAACTATATTTTCCAACAAATATTGATGGATCTAAACGACTAGGGCCACAACTTTATCAAAACATTACTTCAAACTTCTGGATTCTACCATAAAGATTCCGAGATTTCGGAGGAATGTATTGAAATTTGTTAGCTTTTAAATTATGAAATATTTAAAATTTTCAGTACACGTAGATGTTAGCGAATCTGAAACTGGAAATCAGGATGCATTCCGAACAATAGTAACTGGTCACCTATCGCGACATGAATCGAAGTCTAGGTTCGTGATTTTACTGGGGTAGGGTTCTATTCAAGAGTTTCCTCTTCAACTTTCAATTATAATTTGCTCTAGTCATTTTTTTCGAATATTTCACACTATATATGTTAACACGGCGAATACATACAAGTGGTAATTGATAATATTTGTGTTGTTAAATGGTGACAGTTAAATTTGTTGCGCCTCACGAAATAAATGTAATACCTGTATTAAAGTTAGCCATATAGTTTTCTTCACCAACGAGGAAAAATATTTGGTATATATTAATTTCCATAATAGTTCACTTGGCTTTTAATTGCTTTTCACTTCTCATATTGATTCACTTCCAGTGAACAAGCGGAAGCTGAACTGACTGACGTAGCCTTTCAAGCGACGGATAAACTTCAGAATTTAAATATGGAAAAAGGACTTAAAACATTACCTGCCGTGGTGGAAGGCGAGGATCTTCTTACGTGGTGTCAAAGGGTGACCATAAATTATCCTTCAGTCAAAATAACTGATTTTACGTATGTTTTCATTTTTATAATAAAAGTTACAGCAGGAGCTACAAGATTTAATTTATTATCGTTCTATTTTATGTTTAGTATTAACCGTACTTCTTTTGCAGTAAAAGCTTTCGCTCGGGTCTTGCTTTCTGTGCAATTATCCATCGCTATCGCCCAGATTTACTTGGACCGTTTGGAAAATTGAATTTTACAGATTCACACAGCAACCGCCTTGAGAATTGTCGTAGAGCATTGGATGCTGCTGCTGTAATTGGCGTGGAAAAGTAATCGTTTGTTTATTTGCTTAAGCAATTCGTCTAAACCTCATAGATTGCTCGATCCTGCAAAGTAGATATCTACTCCTTGGGAGGTCGGGAAGTATTTCGGTATTCTTTGCAGTATTTGTTGCCTTTCTGCTGTTATTTAGAAGTTTTATTTTTTCTTTAAATTCCAGAGTGATTTTCGTTGATTCCAGGAAACTGGACCCCGGTATCACTGTAACATTACCTGATCGAAATGATATTCGATCTTTTTTATCCGAACTACGCATGCTTCTTGTGGATATTCCAGCTATTAAACGTGAATTAAGTGTAAATGAATCGGACTATCGAATATCCTCACTCTTCAGTTTGTCAGAATCGGAAACAAGTGTGAGTATTCCTTACTTTTTTCTTTTTTTTTTTTTTTTTTTAATTTAGGATAGTGAAACCTTACAAGTGACGAGAAACAGAATTTAAATCTAAGGAGTTTGAATTTAAAAATTTGGTGGAAAGAATGTTAAAACAGTTTTCAGAGTCACTTCTGATCTCTCTTTTGTGTGATCACTGTCCGGATACATTTGCTTTGATTTGCTGCTAATCCTAGTTATATAAGTTAGACTCTTGAGAAATTCTAAATCGTTTTCATGCCTAAAAATTTTTCGAGGAGACATAGGTTTCCAGGTTATGAGAGAGCTTGAAATTCTTCGCCGACAGCGTGAACGTGAAGAAGCCGTTGATCTGACCAATATTATTGTAAGTTGCCAACAGTTCATAATTCATCCATAGAAAGCTTAATGTTTCCTTGTTTTGTCAAGCAGTTCATTTTTAAAAAACAAAACAGCGACTTTCACATTTTGGTACTTCCATTTTTAATTTTTTGTTCAAAAAGCAGGATTTCGGTTTATTCATTATACATCATCTCTTTATATATGCACACAAAAAACAAAAAGAAGAAACTCTATATGCACATAAAGTTGTTTTCAATTTTACACACGTTATGGGAAACGTACAAGTTTATATCTCTTATAATCTTACTTTGCTGTTATATCAATTCCTTTTGTGTGTTTTCCGACTTCACTTCCAGTAAAGTGGTTTTCTTTTTTTCTTTTGCTCCCAGTAAAATGAGGTTATTGCACTTAACCCTAAGTGAATTTTGACCTGAAAATTCATTCGACTTAAATTTCAGGATGAAGACCGTACGAAATCTAATGCCGTTGTACCAAGCTCCCAGAAAGTGGGAAATATAGGAAATAAGGGCGATGAAAAAAGATCAAGAAAGCTGATTGATCCATTTGATTCTGATTCCGATTCAGATAATGCAAGGTAAACACATAATGTCACACTGTTAATCTTTTTTGTTATTGTTGAAGAAAAAAAGCTTGAATTTTCCTTCTTGGATAATATGATTTTTTTGTGAGAATCGGTACTGCTGATGTTACTACTGGTATCGCTTATATTTTGAAAATATGTGAATACTTGGGTTAGCTCGTTATGCATTATTAGTCTTTTAATATGGTCAAGAACTACACATTGATGGTCATGTATTCCTAACAATTTCAGGTAGCTTATCTTGAAAAGACCCAATGTTATATTTTAGGTTATTTTTTAATTAAAAAAAATGAATTTTTCTCAAGACTGTTTGATAGTTATTTTCATCTGATAACAGAAAAGTGCTTTTGTATTACATCACTTGCATTTCTTTTCCTAATGTGAAAGTTTGCATTTGCTTAGCAAGCGCGCGACATATATACCGATGGTACGTAAATCAAGTTCGAGCATTATTACAAACACAGATGTTAGTACAAATATTAACGCAGTTCCGATTTCATCGATTGTTACAACTCGTCATGAAGAGCTGATGAAAAAACGTCAACAAATATCCTCTATTCCATATATAATTGCTGATTCCGCGGATGCATCAGCACGTGAAAGGTAAACAGAATTGAGAAACTGTTTTTAAATAAAGTATTAGCAAATAATGAGAAATCTTCCTGGAATATTATGAATTCGCGAAAATCTAATGGTTGAAATTGTTCTGTAAGAATGTTCGAAATCCATTCTTTTTTTTACCCATGACTGTGTTATAATTTTCCCTGAATTTAGGCTTTGATTTTTCCTAATTTTATAATTAGAATTTTAGTCATAAAGTTGGTAGTTTTGTAGCCATGTAATAGTTTCTCCCTATTTCTGTCCATCAGGATGGATTCTCTAACTTTTTTTGCGGAAAATGCCGAAATTTCTTATATCAAAACCCACATGAATTCTTCTTAACTGTTTTACCTAGTAACTAAAAGCTGTTTTCTACTTCTATTTTTGCTTTCTAGTTTAATGTTATACCGGTGATTTTTGATGGGAAAATTTAAAAAAGACTTCGTTATCTGATTCAGAAAATATTGTTTATTAGATTTCATGAGAAGGTTAGATCTGAAGTCAAATTTTGAAAATATGTGGTAGTTTACTTTTTTATCAACTCTCTTATTAACTTGAATTCTTAATTCTGTTATTGTTGTAGAGTAAAGAGTCAAATGCGATATTTTATGACAAGACTAAACCATAAACGGCAAATTGCACATACTAAGCATTGTATCAATAGATAAACTGCGAATTATGAAGAATAAAATAGTAATATAATCTGTTCTTTCTAGGCGACATCGAGAGGAGGCTCGACGCTTGATGAATAATGCTACTGCCGGTGGTGTGACATTAGTACTTGGTGGTAGTGCACCAACAACGGCCCATCAATCACCGACAGGTTTGTTTGATTTGCGGAAAAAAGTAAACGACGCATTTTTACTACGATATTCTGTTTTGATATCACTGTTTGTTTGGATAAAGTGCTGTCGGTTTTTGTGATCTAACTTTGCACTTTCAGCAATTCTGAAACGTGAATTTTCCTAATAAAATGCAGATAAACGAATTTGTGGTTTGACTGTAGTTAAGAAGTAGGAAATATTACTACCGTGTTTTAGACAGGAAACTCAGACTACCATAAGTGGAATCATTTCATTGTCTGAATTGCCTTATCAGTGGAAGTAATGAAAATCAATGTTTATGGTGTTGACTTGAATCATAGGCTTTCATCATAAAACTTGACTATTTTTGACTATTTAAGAAGTTTTTGCGTAAGGGCAAGAAAAACTCATTTTCGTATGATCTCATGTTGTATATTCGTTGCTTCTTAATAACACTAATAGCTGTTGTTTGTTGTGTGCAGTGGCAGCTGCGTCTGACTTGCTTCGAAAGCTGTCGCCATGTGCCAGTGAAGATGCTGGAAGAAGCGATTTGCATACACTTGGTGCGTATATATATGTGTTCATTTACTTAACCAATAAGTTTTTTACCTACAGCATAAGTGATTTCTTAGTCATAGCATAGCTTGGTTTTATATCATGTAGCGAAAATTTATTCCTGATTTCGAAAGTAGATATAAAACTTGTTGCTTAATCCTTTCCTCTTTAAAGGATAATGCTCATTTTGCATGGTATTTTTTGCATATTCTTTCACTTGACTAGAAAAAGAAAAAAAAAACGATTCATTAAAATGTCAAGTGTAGAACTGTGAAAATGCTGCAATTTATATTATGCACGCATTACGACTTTCACTTCAGTTTCCTGCTGCTCTGTTATAGTTTTAATTGATCTCAGTATAGATTTTTATTTACGTTAATGGTACCCAAGAAATCATTCCAAATGCTTCTTTTCCTCTATCAATTTTTACTTTTTCATATTACAGATCAAGACTTAAATCTTACGAAAATTTTATCCTTCAGCTATTAAATGAGGTTACACATATTTTCCAAGCGCGTTTTGTCCATCTGCCTCATTCACCTATTTTATAAATAACGCTTTGATTAAGGATGACCTATTATTTTTCTTCCAATGCTTATTTCCCTTTTGAAGCGAACTTTAAGTACTGCATTCCAGCTACATGGAAAAAACACTCGCAAAGGCAGCTTGTGTAGCTAATTATAATAGTTTAAACTAAGAATTATTATAGCATTCCTAAAGAAGCAATGTGTGTTTCATTTTTATTTTGTATGTATTCTATACATATATGAATGTGCTTTAATGCATATTTATAGAATTGGTTGCTTCAACGGTGAAAATTTACAACTTCAAAAAGATTCAACCTTCTCCAACGTTTCAACATGAAATATGTGCGTTTGTTGTGTTTTCTCTTCTGTAACTTTATTTCTAATCCTTATTTGTGTATTTCTTACATTCATTTTTTTTGTAAATTTCATATGAATGTTAACGAGTAGTTATGCAAATTAACTCAGCGTCAAAATTTTGTGTAGTACATCAAGACTTTTTTGCGGTAGACTACATTGGTCGTATGCGATGCATGCCAAATGTCATTTTGTTGCCAAAAATGTTAGAAACAGACGTAACTTGCGTGTGCTGATATTTTGTTTTAGTGCATTATATGCTGTTTGTTGTTTGCATCCAAAAAATTTGTGGCTTCATACAAAGCTAGTGTTTGCAAAGCTTGTTTATTGGAAAAGTGGTTTTCCTTGAGTTAAACATTAATCTCGAATCTTCCTTTTTTAATGAAATAATGTGGAAGATTATGGGTTTAAGTGTGTGGGGTTAAAAATTAATTTAAATAATAAGTCAGTTGATAACACAATAAATTATTTATTTGAAATTAGTTTCAGTGTTAAACGTCACTTTCAACGATGTGTGGAGCAGATTCTGTACAGACGTTCGAGTGACTTGTATTTTACAATTCTTCTCTCTTGAAAATGTAAATAAGTGAACTGTTGGATATATTTCAGATGAAGCACCAATAACTGCGCCACATGAAAGACCTACTCGAAGGTTATCAAACAGCAGTGCTGATGTAAAGCTTTCATATTCTTTCTTTCCTTTAGAATTTAATCCACCCATTAAAATCAAGATATTGAATAGGTAAGGGCAATTAGTAGTTTTTACATTTAATAATACATTTTGTTATTTCTTATATTTAATAATACATTTTGTTATACTATTTAAGGTTATTCATACTTGCTCGACTCTTTATAGTGAAAATGTTTTTTAGTCATCAAAGTCATATTTTTCAAATAAAGCGAACTTCTGCGATTGTTGATGGGGATGAAATCTGAGTAATAAGACAGAGGGTTTTTTCTTTGACTTATTTCAATTTTGATTTTCTGAGAGACTAGTGAGAAAGCCAGATTTCTTAGATAATTAATTGGTTTAAACTGCAGGAGCAGCATATACAACATGATGAAAAAAAAGTGCTGAGAATATGAACACTGTCGTTAAATTGTTCCAGATTCAAAAAAATAGCCTCGGTGTGACGCTGGATCGAGCGAAAAGGTATGGTAGTATGAGAGGTCAGGAATTAATTGAAAGCGTTGCAAAAGTTGCTGGACGAGCGGTTAGTAATATCAGTTACATCAATAAAGGCTAAAAAGGTTACTGAAATGTAGTTTCCAATTATCATCTATTTAATAGGTTGATTAAACTACGAAAATCAAACTTAAGTTTTTTAACGTTGAATGTAGTTCATTTCATGATTATTCTATCACGTACAATTGTTTGAAGGATGATCTGATGGTTTTATTACCAGGTTTTGAGTGCTTCCACCCGTGGTCATGTTCGGTATGTAGTATCCTGTTTCTGTTAAACTGTAGCGAGATTGGACATTAATTAGTAATTTCGAAAAGGATCCCGAAATCGGTTGATTTATTCTTTTTCAGTTCACATCATCTATATCAACTCTGGAAAATCCTGTTAGTGTAACGCCAACGCGAAAATTGATTTCTCAGTGGGAGGTAAGTTGTTTTCAGTTTGCAACTCATCTTTTTTTTCGGATTCTCTGAACCGACTTCGTATTCGTACCTATTCAGCTATTCGAGGCTTTTCTTTAAATGATTGAGAGCCTTTCTAACTCATTTAAGCCGGCATTGGTTCCTTTCAGTTCGACTATCTCACTATCTGTAGAAGAATTCTTGAAGTAATTTTTACAACAACACCTAGTAAATTTTACTGGATAAACTTTTTCCAGAACATGTTTTGTTTTTTCAGAAAGATGGTGCAGATTTGGAAAAGATTCAAGCAGAGTTGAATCGTCTTTCGAAATGTTTGGCGCAAGTTTCCGCTGAGGATGAAATTATTTGTTCACAGCTCATGAAAGCAAGTTAGCTTTTGTTTCACTTTGTTTTATACTATAGCATTTGCTTCGGGTTTTCTGAAAGTCAAATTCCTTGACTACACATACAGTTGGATTCCTCAAACTCTGAATTTTCCAGAAGTTTCGTCGGAAGAAGAGGAACGTTTATTGCAAGAGCATATGAGATTACTGACTGAGAAAGATGCCGTCGTTAGACGAACGGAATATTTTAATGTTCTGGAGCAGTTACGTGAAGTGGAAGATGAAATAACAAAGTTGCAGCATAAATTAGGCTCTGCTTCTATTATTGACGGTAAGTTCACCAGTTGCTTGTGCGTTGGAGTACTATTTTGAATGTCTTAACTTTCTCTCAGATTTTGAATTTTGTTGTTGTCTTCTTGAAATCATTCTGCTATTCTGTCAACTCTACACCATCGTATAGTCCCTGAAAATTCCTCCAACTTGCTTTGAGATGCAGATGATCTTTACCGTTTGCTGAATTTTCTTTATCCCTAAAAAACTGGTTTCTTTAAATCGTTTCACTTGAAAGAGAGAATATTCAGGAGAAATGCTGGTTTGACATACTGTACAGCTCATTTTTATTTGTAGAAGTTGATAAGACTGAAGACGATAAACAGAGAATTGATAAAATGATGGATGATTTGGTTGCGCTGGTGAATAAAAAAGATCGCCTATCACAGAAGCTAATAAGCCATGAAGCAGAGTAAGTATGATGCAGATTTTTTTCAGATAACTAGTTTTATTAAATTTTCCTCTCCGAAGGAGAAATATTTCATTTATTTAATATTTAACATATTCAGGTAACCTGGAAGTTGCATCTTTAATTGCCCTATAAGTTATAATGTTTTGTTGTCTCGTTCATTTTCTTACTATAGTGTCGTTTAGCAGCTTATTTGAAGATTCTATCTATCTAACCGGTAGTCTCTTAAATTTTTCACAAATTGTTACTGTTTTAAAGTTTCCGGTTATTATTTGTCCTCATTCGTTAATCTGGTTGTTCTATTTTGCATATACCAATATTATCTTTTTTTTTTTAAAATAGCAAGATTTCGAAAGTCATTGCAGAGATGAAGAGATAGACGAAAGAGATCGATTAACTCTAGAAGCAGCTGCGAACTTTTCACGTGGCTCCGAACAACCATTATCAGCTTCCAAAAGAATAATAACCTGGATTCGGTCCGAAATTAGTGGCTAAACAAAAAAAAGCATTTAAATCTTTTTACGCTTTTGTTTCTTTTGTTATTAACACTTTGTTTTCTGCTGCGGTCTCTATATGTCGCTTTTATAATGAGCACTTAATTCCACTAAGAGCATTTTGATATATTAATCTTTTTATCGTACCATGCCGAAAATCGGTATGTGTTATCATTAGCATCAATTGCCATTTGTCGAGAGGTGATTAATTTTGAGTTAGACTTCATATCATTAGTTTACACTTATTTTCTTGCCAAAGACAAGATTTAAGATGTCCGGAAAAAGCAGAATAACTGCTACTAGAAAGGTTCAGCTTGTGTTAATCAGAGCCAGAGGTTTGCTCAAAGATTTGACAAACATACATATTGATTTTATGTAAATTAGTAATTTGAAGAATTAGTAATAAGTTAGTAATTTTAATCAATTATGGTTTTAATCGTTTAGGAATTTAATTATTTTTCATTTTTATCGATATCTTCATTGTTATAGCTAAAGGCTGATGAGATTTTTCATAATCCTAAGAATTTTGGGTTGTACTTTCAACCGTAATTTTGTCCTTGTTGATTATTAAATCATATTATCCTGATGGAATTTTTTGTCCCTTAGTTCTCTAGAAGAGATGATAAATCTTGATCGGATATTTCTAGGTCAAAAACATGGACATATTTTTTTGCCTTACCTGAGAGTGTTCTAAAATCACCTTTACAAGAGATTATTTAATTTCATGAAATGCTGCAATTTTTCAAAATTTACCATTCCGTGCTTGTTTAGTTCTGCATATTTCGCTCATAGTGCCATTGTAGTGAGAGAGTGCATTGTTCGGTAAGAACTCGCATTGCTAATCGTTAAACTATTTCAGTCATTTGATATCTACCTTTTTTAAATTACCGATGGTTATTTTTTAGAAAATTCCAAGACTTTTCAAATTCATTAGTTCCAGTGCTTACTACAAATGATTAATCATGAATCATTTTTCCTCCGTAAAATCTTTATCTCTTTCTTTGATCTCTGTAATAATTTTTCCATGAATAATATGCTTACATCCATAACGTTTGCAACAGTTAGTGTATATTTAGTTAGTTCATTTATATTTTATGTACGACTGGTTGATTTGTTCGATCTCGCCAAAGTTCTTTTTCGAGTTTTTTCTTCACGTTGTCGAATAATAATTCATGAATGGAAAGTTTTCGTTTTTTGTGGAATAGACTAAAGCGATAAGGTGAAACACTGAAAAGTATATATCAGTCAGTGTCCTCTATTTGTAACATTTTTTAAATTATTTCACTATATCGAATTTGTACAAAACAAACATCATTTTATGATTTACACAGTGCTAAGTCAAGATTTTTTTTTCGAACTTTGGAAGTAAAATGAATGAAACATTTTCAATAGGTTTTCCAGTACAAAAGTCTTAAATTCAATAAGTAAAAATAGTTGTGAAGACAATTTTGGATTGGTTGAAAACAATCATTGACTTCGACGCTAACATACGGTTCATCTGTCCAAAGAGTTATCATTCTTGTTATCAGGTCCTTGCTGTATCAGTTCATATATCGTACAAGGATCAACTTTTTTCTTCCTATCTATATTTTATTACTTTGTAGTTGCTTTTGATTTTTTTCCTCCGGCAGTCATCAGCTTTGCATAACTCATTCTTTCTCATCCAGTTCTAGTCTTTTATTTATATCACGTTCAAATTGTGTATTTTTCATGCTCCATCCTTTCTTTTAACTTATACTCTTGTAATAAACCCTCCGTTTGTCTTTGAATGTAATGAGTTGACAAATGTACATTTCCAACTGTAACAGATACACGCAAACACGCAGGTTACACATGTATGTGTAAACTTTATGAGGGAGTAGATTAGCGCTGCAGACGTAGGATCCAGAGAAGTCAAGCTCGTCATTTTAATCCAGCGGTTTAAGAGCAAGAATTTCAAGATCATCTACTATTGAAGTATATATAACATTCTAAAATGCAGCTTCTAAACTACAAAGCAAAAGTAACCAGTAAAACTTTGCCGATAAGTTCCGGTTATTTAAACGATATATGTTAAATGCATACATTGTGACCGGTGGGTCATAAAAGTGACAGAAAACGAAATTTAGAAACATTAGATTTGGCGTGAAACTTCGAAAAATTTCATGTTTACCTTTTCATTGGACGACATTTTACTCTCGAACAAGTAATCACAACATCAACCTAATCGATCATTATTTTTACAATGTATCTATGAAGTCAATGTTCCATTACATTCTTTATGTGCGTCTGCGTTGCAAACAAGCTTTGTTACGATGTCAATTACTCTGTCATCTATTAACTGAGTTGTTCATTACTTGGATCATCTGATTATCATTGATGCTTTTCAATGAATTTGATTCATCCTCCTGAAAATCAGTTCCATCCCATTTCTTCTCCATTTTCATAGCAGTGCTTATATTGAACATTACAGAAGATATGTGGTATCATCAATATTCTGATAAATTCTATCCTTATTAAAACAAAATAAATCTTTCGAATTCCTTGTGAAACTAAGGAAAAGTAAGAAGTGGATTGAGAAACGATCGAAATATTCGAGTAATGTTTATGGGACAGTTGTGTGGTATATTGTCTGTGGCATAAAGAATATATCATAAATGGATTGAATTTATTATCATAGGAAGAAGTTTTAATGTAGAAAAAGATGGGAAACCAATAGCAATAAGAGACTGTGTAAAGCAAATGTATAAAACGGGACAAAGGCTTATCTTAAATAACTTTGGCTACTTTATATTAACAAATCTGTGTCGTGTGCCTAAACCATTTTGACTTGGTGGTGCTAACTTCATTTACTCAAGAACTTTTCCCTTCCTAAATGCTATGTTTAATTACCATACGTTGGCACAGATTGAATAAAAAAGGACTTCTGAGCAAATAATAATTTGTGCAATAATGCCGTGATTTACGCGCTCATCAATGAAATAATAAGAGTTGAAACTGAAAAAAGATCTGATTATTTTAGTTCTAACATTGATTTGTTTCATTCTGCTTATTGATTAGGTTTTTTAACAGATTTTAATTCATTCAACTGATTAGACAAGTTTGGAATGAATGCTTGAATGTTTGATGTATTGCGATATTTTCACTGGAATTGAATGTGAACTGGAAGGCTAAAACATACCATATTTGAGTAAGTAATGAATTAAAGTGGAATTGATTAAACTGAGTTAAATTAACCAGACAATATTTGAAATGAACTAAATCGGTATCAAACGACATGATTGTGATGTTAAATGTCATCTTCACTATTTTCGTTAATTGTATTTGTCTGGAAAGATGAACCAATTTCAATTCTATTATTCAATTCAATTCAGTTCAGTTCCCTCTCAGATAAATTGTTTTTGATCGGCTGTTCCTCCCTGTATGTTTGTTCATTTTTCCATGTGTTTATAGAAAATTTTGTGCTTGGGGATAATAACGATGGCATTCGCTCTTCGTTGCAGGGTGACATCGAAATTATTGATTCCGCTTTGCGTCCGTATATATGTGTACACTTGTCTCTAATGGATCAGTACTGGGGACAGGCCTAGAACCGACCGACCTAAAGCCTTTTTTCCTTGAAATAAAGCTCACGGGCCTTTCGTGGTTGATCCAATGCATCAGTACTGTCTTCCAATGCCTTCCTTATTGCCGTTGCTCAATCCTTTCCATTCCTCTCCCTTCTTCTCCTTCCCTTGTCTTTCCTTTTCTTTTCCTTTCCTTTCCTTTCCCTCCCTTTCCTATTTTCCTTCCTCTCTTCCCTCTCTTTTTTCGAAAAAGTTACTACGTAATGTAAACTTGCAAGTAGAGATAAATAACTAAGAGGAAGGGCAAAGACGAATTAAATTTTGTTCGATAAAACATTTAGAGGAAAACGAATGGTTCTTTTGAGGAAGAAAAAAGAGACGAAAGCTTTTATTAGAATTTTAATTTCAAATTTCCACTTTTAAATTACTCGTTCCTTTTCATATTTACAAACATTTTGTTTGACAAAATGTTCATCCATTTGTATCCTTTACCAAAACTCTGAACTAACATTCAAGACTGGACACTATTAGAATCAAAGTTTTTTTATTTCTGAAGTAATCAAGTTTCTCGTATTCTTAAACATTTTACTTCTATAAAAGGTTTTCCAGTGTGTAAGTTAAATCAGCCAGGATAGTCTAGTACGGTCGGATCATTTAATGTCTCCTGAACCACTTCAGATAAGTTGGAAAACTGGACTTCTTGGAAATGGCTCATGATGTTAGTACTCAAATCGACTCGCTTGGCTTATTTTTTTAATTAGCATATGTTGCAGATCCTTCTTGGCTTACTTCAAGCTTTCGGTATATAAATATGTATCTTTCCAAGCCTAATAAAATGGATTATTACAACGTTTTCTTTGAGTGGATGAAAATTTTAACTGGCAGTTACTCTTTTTCTACTTAATCTCTTAATTTCCGGATATTTATTATTATTCTTCCTACTCAGATATAACCTCTGAGCAGAATTTTGAATCACAACTTGCATCTTGTACGTTTAAACTTAGTCATTGTGTGCTTTGATGATTCACACTTGAACACTTAATCTTTACTCACATCCTTATGCTTAAGTATTATTTACCTACATTCTGGAACTAATACTCATGTCACGAATATTCGATAAGTTTAAAAAATTCAAAAAATAAATTTTTTTCTTGCACTAAATTATTGATCATTGCATTTTCATTAGACCTCTTTCTTCTGCTTTCTTCTTGCTTTGTCAGTCATAACTGTGCTAAATATTTATTGAATAATTATAAATAATTTACTGATTTTATAGCCATTTCTATTTGTATTAATGGAATATTATAAAACTTTTAGCTTGTTTTCTGTTTACGGTTTGTCGCTTAATTCACGATTGAATTATTCACCGATCATTCTATAGAAAAAAGAGAGAGTAGTAGAAAGAAGGAAAGGATAAGTTGAACGAAATAATTCAAAGATAAAGTGCATTTTAACTTGTACTGCATCATTTCAATTCATCTGGCATCCAATTCATTGTGCCAGAAAATTTGCCACGACCAATGAACTGAACATTCCCCGATAATCTTTGAGCTGATAATGGTAATTTGCACAATTATTGCCTTAATGACTTTCTTAATATATTTGTATTTTTTCGATCTTTTTTAATTATTGAACTTATTCAAAAATTATATTTTAAGGCATCAGAAATTATTGAAGTTTATTTGTTGAAAAAAGTGTTAAATATACTTCAAAATGTTAAGATTTATTTGGAATTTTTGATGGTGCAGTCGGTTGGAACCTAAGGATAAAAACAATGATAATAGATCAGTTCTTATCTTTATGACAACATCTACAGTTAGCCATGATACACCTCTTACTGTACCTCAACTCGTCCAAATTTGTATCACATTTTTCGGTTAGCTCATTTTCTTTCCTTTTTTTGCAAAAACCAAATCAAACTTTCATCATAATATAATTGTGAAATTTAAATGTTGTTTTATAATAATTGGACGATTTAAATTTCCCACCAAAAACTGGACATAGTGAAGTGAAAGTCCAATATACTGAATCAATAATTCAATTTGCTAATGATTTAAAACTGTAGGTGATCAAGTGGTCAATTGCTGACATTGTGGTATTAGACCTTTGATTTCATGCATTGAAAATTACATTATTATTTGCTTGTTGCCTATCAATAATTGAAAAATATATTATAAATTTGATGTTCAATAATAGTAAGCAATTGGTTTCGACTTCAGATGGTGACGAGAATGTAGAAAAAGATTCTCTTCCATGGGCACTGTTTCATGTTCATGAATGGTTTGTGAACAGTTGTGAACTGATGGCGCATTTTATATCAGTTTTCATAGTAAGCACTTTTTTTTCTCTTAATTTCATTATCAAATTTCCAATCCGATATTCGTTGCAGTCATTCATGAAATATCTCTTGTGTTTTCTCGTTTTCTCACTTCTCACGTTCAATTCATAATTCACGAGATTCGCTGCTACATTATTATTCATATAGTTTGAATTAAAATTTCGAAGCTCGTTCTTAAAGCCAAAAAGTGCTCACTTTAATGTTCGAAATCTAATTCATAATCTGGATGCTAATGAGGTAAAATTTTCGTAATATGCTTTTATGAATTTTTGTGATCCTTAGATTAGTGTTTACCAGCCTCTTCTTCACCAGGGACCACTTTGGCGTTTTTATATATGGCAGGGACCACAGGGTTCAAAAGTAATAAATTCCGTTAATTTTAAAATAAAATCCAATCAAAACTTTTAACGTATTGCTTAAACTTAGAGTAACATTATAATATAAAAAAGAGTAAACGTAATTTTTAATATCCCTCGTGGACCATATTTTAGTTTTCGAGGACCACTAGTTGGGAATCACCTCATTAGATAGTTAAACTAAAGAAAATTCGACGATCCTTTCAGCGGCATCATCCCACGTGAACCTTTTCCAAAATGTTACACCTTTTTTGTTACTGTTTCAACCTGTGAGATGATTCCACTCAAAAAATACGCAAAGTGATCGTAAGCATGCGGTCATCTAATAGATTGCAAGAAAAGTATAATTAAAGTTTCACTTGAAATTCGAATTCCATTCCGAGTTCAATTTGAAATACTATAATGGCTAGATGCATGCTACAGTAACAACTACCACTGAACACTTCATTTTTCGTTCAATCCATAGAAGTAGAAAGAGCTGAAGTCAATGAAATTGTCATTGAATGGAGGAGGGAATTACAGTGATAGTTTCTGAATTTCTTGAATAAGTTCCAGTTGAGACGAAGATTATTTAAACAACTTTGTTTAGGATGCGGTAAACGATAATAGTACGCGTTTACGGATATGTCGAGCAGTAGGATACTGGATTCGGATATGTCCAACACATTTCGATGCATCTTTATGTAAGCTTGTTGAACGCCTCAAATTGCTAGCTGTATCGAAAAATGTCCCGAATTCTGCCGCACTTCTTGACCTCTCATCATTGTATGTTTTTTTGCTGTAATTTCTTATATAAAAATAAAATTTTTCTTAATGATTCTAGACTGAGTAATCCATCCATTTTACATTGTTACTTTCAAACTACATGATTTCGTTCATTTACTAGGTTGAGCTTATGTTTTCTCTGTTTTCGTCAAGTTTTTCAAATGTCTTGTCGATAGTTGTTTTTGTGGAAAATTTTTCAAGAATTTTGCCTGAATGATAAGGCTACTTGTGATGTTATTTAAACATATATTTTGGTTCTATTCCATAAACCTTCATTTTTGACTCATTTGAAATCTGAAGAATACACATTGCAGTAGAAGCTATGATATGTATAATTAAAGTAAATCAAATGAGATTATTTCTTCTTGTAGTATTTAAGTTTTCTTAAGGATTATTTAATTTTAGGCCTTCCTATTCATGGCTTCGAAATGTCTCCGTTAGAAATCCTGTCAGCCGCCAATGTTCGTTATCATTTGATCAGTGGACTCCTGAAGAGATTGCTGTGTCATTGAGTCATATTGATTATAAAGCATTATTCAAGATTCCAGTGAGTGATTTCTGGGGAAGTGTGTTATAATCAGTTGAGTGAAAGGCAGTTTATAAATTAGCTTGGTAATTTTATAATTTTAGATCAGTGAGCTGAAGCAGTACTGTGTAGATGGCAGTCTCTCACGTACTCCCCTCTTAGAGAGGTCTATTTCAATTTTCAATGTAAGTTATATGGCTTATTTAGGCATTTATCTATTTATCTATCATCCAAGCCAACATAAAGCTTTTCAGTAGTTCTGATTTCTGTGTTTTAGAATTAAAATATGATGAAAAATGATAATGACCGGATTTTGCCAGAAAGAAAATGCTATCCACGTCCATATCATTCCAGTTATGCTCTAACATTATAAGATACTATTACCAGACTATATGTTTGGTGGCTTTCTGTCTCTATGTAAGAATAAATGAACACAAAACTTTAAAGTGATCTTTTGATCCACAAACTTGAATGCTGATTGGTTTTCATGTAGTTTAATCTTCAATTAATAAACTTTCTGAATAGTTGCTTAAAAGTTCTCCTTATAGAGTATATCAAACTGGGTACAGTGTATGATTTTGAGTAAAGGAACACCTGTTGAACGTGCTGAAATGATTACTAAATTCACTCATGTGGCGAAGGTTTGTCATTATTACCATCGAATCACTTGATTTCAGTTTTCAAAATCAGAAAGTATGGATATTCCGGACCATTCTAACATCTTTTTTTCCTACTTTTGTCTGTTTGCCGACTGGTTTTATCCTTTGCTTTCATTCTTCAACTTTTTCTATCTCAAACTTCCATTTGAAATTCTCTGCAACTTCGCGGTTGCCAGTGTAATATTGCATAAGAAAATTGATTTATAATTAGTCGAAGTCGTTTAAAAGTAGAAAAATTATCGATCATATTTTCAAGTATTACGTTATACAATACTATATGAGCCAAATGATTTCAACACTTATCTTCATCTCAAGCACTTAATTTTTCTTTAATGCATTTCATTATGTCTTATTGGTTGCAGTGCCTCAGACGAATGAATAATTTCAATACTTTAATGGCTGTTATTGGTGGCGTAACGCATAGTAACATTGCTCGATTATCAAAAACGTCATCTGCTTTGTCAAGTGAATTGAGAAAGGTTTGTTTCATTATTATTTTGATCTCTGAGCTTTCCGTAATTTATATCTTACACCAATAAATTTAATTTTATATTCATTTATTGGATTCATACATTCGTTTCGTTTTTTTTTTTTTACAATGAGCTCATAATTCCCCGAAGGTTACAATAAATTCAAAATTTTGTTTTCCATTACGAAAAACTTGGGCAAGCAATTTTAAAACATGAATTAATAGATATATTAATTAATCGAAAAGCCGATGTTATTCCTCGAAACAACTATTACTCATGTGGTACCATATTAGTAACTCAGATTTCGTCGAATTCGCCACTAATTTTTTCTGTCTTAATAAATTATTTAGAAATTATTATTCTTTCCGCGAGTTACTTCTCGTTTTAATTTTATTATTGATGGTATTTATTATATACTCAAGATTTCTGGTATTGTAATCACTTTTAATAATATTACAAATGATTTCTTAAGTCATTTAATATGTATATGCTGCTATGTAAATCATGCATTTCTTATTGAGTCATTCCAAAGATACTGAAATTCTAGAGATAAACAGTCCTCCATTTATTTATAATAATTATTGTGATATCTTATCATTCATATCCATATTCGTATTTATGGTCATACAGCGATGATCGTCATAACTTACAAGAAACTATTATTCCAGGAACTTAATCATTTCACGCAACTTCTCTCTTCAACTTCAAACTTTGCCTGTTATCGCAAAACATTGCATGAGAGTTCAGGATCTTTCTGCATTCCAATTATGTAAGTCTTCTTTAATATTTGATCGTGGAAAAGGATATCTGCCTTATTTTTGCATTCTTCATATTAGTTTGTTTCTCAGCTTTTCTACGATATTCATTTTTTTTATCAATACTGAATTGGTTATCATATTGTTTCGTAATATATTAGATATTTCACTGTCAATCAAGATTCGAAACCTCCTGACCTCAACAAAGTCATATAGACGATCTGTCATTTTCTATAGGACCTGTTTAAGATGTCACATCATCTTACTATACAAGAACAAAAGCATTTTTTTTTTTTGGTTAATCTAATGCTCATGTCGCATGTGGAAATATGTCAAATCATGTGTTGACTTCGTGATATTTCATTTTCAAGCATGGAATCATTGGCCGGGAACATTTCGGATTCAGGAATCAAAATGGATCTCTTTTCATTCTTTCTCAAAATGTTCTTATTTTCAAAATATTTTCATTAGCAATTTTTAAAATTATTAATCATAGCAAGTGGTCACTTGCAGGGGTGTCCATTTGAAAGATCTGATAAGTTTGCTGATAAAAAATCAGGACTCGGAACATCACTGCCTTGTTTCATGCCGAAAAATTCCATATTTAGCGGTTCATTTATCGTATTTTGTCAATTTTAATCGTACTCCTCACAATTTTCCCGATGCTAATATTGATCTCATTGATACGCTCAAGGTATGAAAATCTTTCCCCTCCAAATTTCTTTGGAATCGAATTCCAATATGTTCAAACCTTTGATTGGGATACAAGGAAAAGGAATACACAAAAAAACATTTCTAACGAGTCGAATAATCGTTACATTTTTGCAAATATTTATACATAAAATCAGTTTTCAGCTTACAATAATTAAATTCTTTCTGGTCTTTTCCTTTTCTAAAGAATTATATTGCTTGCAGGTTTCATTGGATATCAGGTATAATGAAGATGATATTTATTGCCTTTCTCTAAAACATGAACCCCGTACACTTCTTAGCGTAAGTTTAGACTTGAAAATATTACCGTGAAAAAATAAACAAAGTAAATAAAGAGCCGAACAAATTAACTATTTGTAAATATTAAGAAAAAAAGTGATAGTAAAACTATTGATTTATTGTAAGTACCAAATGAGCAAATATCGAGAAAGATCGGATAAACTGAATTGTTTTTTTTGCACATGGATTAGGTAATTAATTACTATTTTTCCTTTGCAGTTTCAAAGTTCAACAAAATCGGTATTATTTGCGGACTGGGCATCAGGTGTGAGTAGTACATTGGATTCAGAAATTGTTAACAAACATATTACTGCAATGGTAGAAGCTGTGTTTAAAAATTATGATTACAATAAGGATGGTTCCATTTCCCAAAGTGAATTTCAACAAATTTCAACCAATTTTCCATTCATCGCTCCTTTTGGAGCTATCGATACTGATAAGTAATGCTATTTCTCTTATATGCATTTGTAAATGTTGTCTTAGGAGGGAAATTTGAAGTTAAAAGAACAAAAGGAAGAAGAGTGCTTGCTTTCAATAGTCTTAGGAAATTTTCTAAAGTTTCTTCTAGAAGATCAATTTACTGACGAAAACTAGGTTTGAACTTCCGCAATTAAATTAAAATCAGCACAAATGTTTGAGTGAAATTCAAATCAGAACTGAAAATTTCCTGAAACAGTGCCCTGCAGACGAGGGATATGATTATTGGAAACAATAATGACACCGAGATCGAACTTATTATAAATGTCGCAGTTTGAGGGTAGTTTTAGAAATCTAATACCTAAATTCTGCTGTTAATATACTGATGTGCGGATAGTAATTCATACTATCTACAAAAAACAGAATAACTCGAAAGAGTTATAAATTAAACAAACAGTGGATTAGATGTATGAATTTATACTGAATCGATTATATGACAGATCTAAAGCTTTCCTGTCATTACTCCTCGAGCGATCATTTTCTTGTTTTGTGATCAAATTTAGGATTTTCTTAAAATTTTGAAAACATGAGTTATTACACAGATAGCGCATAAATAACACTCAAATTTTTGTAGAGATGGAGTTATTAGTAAATCTGAAATGAACGCTTATTTCATCAAAATTTGCAAGCAGTCGATAGATTTCCGTCGTGAATTTCAGCATAATTTTCATGAAGCAACTTTTCTTACACCTGCAATATGTGCTCATTGTGATAAATTAGTAAGTTATGTTTTTTCTAAGGAAAAAATTCCTTTTTTAATCAATATTGATACTATGAACATTAGATTTAATCCATAGGTTGTGCCAAACCATTTGCTTTTTATATAATAATTCTAAATATTCATCACTTCTAAAAGTTACATACCAGAAATACTTACCTTGTTCTTCTTCCAGAAATATTTCGTCATTATGGTTTTTGTTTCCATGAAGCCAATTTGTCCTATTTATGACAGACAACATAAATGTTATTTCTTGTAATGTCTTTTATATTACCTTGGATTTTTTTACAGTTATGGGGTATAATTCGACAAGGTTTCAAATGTCATGATTGTGGACTTACTGTACATCGAATCTGTAGAGGCAGTGTCGTTGTAGAATGTCGTCGAACCAATAGCTGGAAAACTACAGTAACGGAATCAGCAAGAACGAGCCGAAAACTTTTACCTGGCATCAAGTACGTCTTGAAGTTTCAAAGTTCCGACTTACAATTTTAATTTCAATTCGAAAATCAAAAGTTTTGCTTTCGAATTGGATCTTATTGTTCCCATACACCCGTCATCGAGACCTTACTAACTTTTAGGTTAGACAGAGCGGTTTGACGGCTGTTACTCTGGGCTGCGTTTAAGAGGCTTCCTCATGTTCAACCGCCAGTAGTGGCGTCACAATTGGTGGAAGCAATTCACTGAATACTATCAGGACCAGATGGTTCTGGTTCTGACAGTATTCTTATATGCGTTAGCAAAAGAAAAATCACTAAGTTGACGAGGTTACGACACATTTCTTCTCCCTCCCTCATCCTCTTCCCTCTCATTCCCTTCACCTTTCCAAAGTTCAGTTTCCGATTTGATGATTATTCTTTGATGAGAAATATCCGTTTTTTCTTTTTTCTTTTGTTTTTTTAATCGTCATATCTGAAAATGTTTCCGTTCCGCACAAAACAAACCTCTCATCACTTACAGATCAATTTCCCGGTTACGAACAACTAGTGTCACATCAGAACGTGATCGAACAGATGATACGACTACAGAATGCTTCGCATCTGCAGCATGCAAAATGTTGCTGCATCTACGACCACATTCGAACAAGAATCGTGCTCGTTCTGATGTAGGCTGTTATTATCAGTAAGTTGTTGCACAGTCGCTGAATATTTAAGAACTCTTTAATTAATTATTAGAATTACTTCATTTTTACATCACTCGACGATATTCTGCTTCTATTTAATTTTAATCTTTGTATTATCGCCATTCTTATGATCATTTTTTAAAAAGCGCTTTCATGAAGGCTGAAAAGAGATAGTGTTAGTATCTGGCATGACTTTCATGAATCAAACACCAGAAGGCAATTAGACTATTTTAAGGATAGCATGTTCTCCTGAATCGCCAAATACAGATGTTGCGCCATCTTTGGCATGCGAAGAAGTATTCGAAGATGAATCCTTATGCATATCACTTTCCAGGATGAATGATTCCAGTAATACTTTGCAGTGATAGATAATGTTTACTGTTTCTATACTTTGTTCAATTCCGTCAGATCGTTGATCGGAGTTATTGATTTTAAGTGATGCTGATAGCTTAAATTCAGTTTCATTTGTTGTTAAGTCAATTTTTACTATAGTAAATCCGAAAAAAAGACTATCTTTCGAATTCGTGATTTATAGTTACTGCTAATTAAAGTGATTATTCTTTTTCATAATAGCAAGCTTTAATTAGCCAGCTGATTCAGTAGCTTACCAAACTGCACTAAATCGTATTCGATTCTACCAAAAGATCTCTATGATTCCATACGTAGATAAGTATGTTCATTAGTGAAAGTTTACTGAAGAATGTCGTTTGTTGATCCTTTTCATTCAAAAAGATGGATATTTGTGATGTCTTTATCAAGAACCAGAATTGCTTTACCCTTCCATGTGCTTAGCAGCTTTTATTTCTAATTTATAATTAAGCCAAAGCAATGTTAAAATCTGTAGTTGCATCTAATATGTAAATTATGATGCATGTTGTCGTTTATTACGGGTATATTTTTAATTAATTTATTCATGTCTTGTTCCATAATACTGTTTTCTGGTTGAATCATTATTCCGGTGAAAATTTTTAAAAACTATTTTTCGTATGAGTACGAGCAATTGCTGTGTTACATTGTTTAAGGTTTTTGATAATATCAGAAAATTCACTGGGAAAATCCATGATTCCGTGTATCATAGATAATTGGGATCAATATTAGGAGGAATATCAGCTTGAATTATTTCGTGATATTTGCTAAGCAAAGAAAATTATCACTCCGATTCAGATTTCGAATAGTAGCCCCGATAGCATTAAAAAAGAAGGTATGGTGACGGAAAAAAAGCCTTTGTCCACTGATAAATCATTTTACTATTCGGCCAGTTTCGAGCCTAGTCAAATAGGACGATGCCTAATAGTTATGTCTATGGTAATGAAGTATTGCTTGTTCGTTTCTTTTTTTTTGAAGTAATTGTAACCAATGAACTTCATCCTTCCTTTGCTCGTATAAATCGACATGGAGGAATTGATATACTCAAAAAAGCGGTTTAAATATACTTTTGTTATATTTCAGTTCGTATATCGTTTTTCAGATATAATTTTTAACAGTTGTGTTTTTATTCAAATATACATAGTTTTCTATCCTATATTCAAATATACATAGTTTTCTATCCTATATTCAAATATACATAGTTTTCTATCCTATATTAACTTTTAAAATTATAATATAATAGAAGTATACTAATTCTATTATCAGATTGCTCATTTTTGAAATATCATATGAAAGTTAAGGGATCGTGTACAATGAGAGGAAGAGATTAACATGAAAGACGGGTACTGGATGAATTTGGCCAAGGTAATTCAGCAGTGTGAGGTAAAGGGATGAACAGGGCGAAGAATGAAGATATAATGCTGGCTATCCATTGAACAGTTTTAGCGAAGGATGATGATGATATGTGTATGGATAGAGGGAAGAAGAGACAAAAAGTGAAGAGGTCTGACCGGTTGTATGCATCCTCTGGTCACTTAAGGCGGTTTTCGGATGAGAAGAGGGGAATCGGCATAAACAAATGTTAACTATACCCGTTATCGATTCAATGAAGACTGTTGAACGAACA